TTCTGTATCCTTTTCTTTTCAATTCTACTTATTTATTGTTCAAGAACTTACCTACTTTCTCACCTAAATGCTATGTTTTCTGTATCCTTTTCTTTTCAATTCTACTTATTTATTGTTCAAGAACTTACCTACTTTCTCACCTAAATGCTATGTTTTCTGTATACTTGTCTTTTCAATTCTACTTATTTATTGTTCAAGAACTTACCTACTTTTTCACCTAAATGCTATGTTTTCTGTATCCTTTTCTTTTCAATTCTACTTATTTATTGTTCATGAACTTACCTACTTTCTCACCTAAATGCTATGTTTTCTGTATCCTTTTCTTTTCAATTCTACTTATTTATTGTTCAAGAACTTACCTACTTTCTCACCTAAATGCTATGTTTTCTGTATCCTTTTTTTTCAATTCTACTTATTTATTGTTCAAGAACTTACCTACTTTCTCACCTAAATGCTATGTTTTCTGTATCCTTTTCTTTTCAATTCTACTTATTTATTGTTCAAGAACTTACCTACTTTCTCACCTAAATGCTATGTTTTCTGTATCCTTTTCTTTTCAATTCTACTTATTTATTGTTCAAGAACTTACCTACTTTCTCACCTAAATGCTATGTTTTCTGTATCCTTTTCTTTTCAATTCTACTTATTTATTGTTCAAGAACTTACCTACTTTCTCACCTAAATGCTATGTTTTCTGTATCCTTGTCTTTTCAATTCTACTTATTTATTGTTCAAAAACTTACCTACTTTCTCACCTAAATGCTATGTTTTCTGTATCCTTGTCTTTTCAATTCTACTTATTTATTGTTCAAAAACTTACCTACTTTCTCACCTAAATGCTATGTTTTCTGTATCCTTGTCTTTTCAATTCTACTTATTTATTGTTCAAGAACTTACCTACTTTCTCACCTAAATGCTATGTTTTCTGTATCCTTTTCTTTTCAATTCTACTTATTTATTGTTCAAGAACTTACCTACTTTCTCACCTAAATGCTATGTTTTCTGTATCCTTTTTTTTCAATTCTACTTATTTATTGTTCAAGAACTTACCTACTTTCTCACCTAAATGCTATGTTTTCTGTATCCTTTTCTTTTCAATTCTACTTATTTATTGTTCAAGAACTTACCTACTTTCTCACCTAAATGCTATGTTTTCTGTATCCTTTTCTTTTCAATTCTACTTATTTATTGTTCAAGAACTTACCTACTTTCTCACCTAAATGCTATGTTTTCTGTATCCTTTTCTTTTCAATTCTACTTATTTATTGTTCAAGAACTTACCTACTTTCTCACCTAAATGCTATGTTTTCTGTATCCTTTTCTTTTCAATTCTACTTATTTATTGTTCAAGAACTTACCTACTTTCTCACCTAATTACTATGTTTTCTGTATCCTTTTCTTTTCAATTCTACTTATTTATTGTTCAAAAACTTACCTACTTTCTCACCTAAATGCTATGTTTTCTGTATACTTGTCTTTTCAATTCTACTTATTTATTGTTCAAGAACTTACCTACTTTTTCACCTAAATGCTATGTTTTCTGTATCCTTTTCTTTTCAATTCTACTTATTTATTGTTCAAGAACTTACCTACTTTCTCACCTAAATGCTATGTTTTCTGTATCCTTTTCTTTTCAATTCTACTTATTTATTGTTCAAGAACTTACCTACTTTCTCACCTAAATGCTATGTTTTCTGTATACTTGTCTTTTCAATTCTACTTATTTATTGTTCAAGAACTTACCTACTTTTTCACCTAAATGCTATGTTTTCTGTATCCTTTTCTTTTCAATTCTACTTATTTATTGTTCATGAACTTACCTACTTTCTCACCTAAATGCTATGTTTTCTGTATCCTTTTCTTTTCAATTCTACTTATTTATTGTTCAAGAACTTACCTACTTTCTCACCTAAATGCTATGTTTTCTGTATCCTTTTTTTTCAATTCTACTTATTTATTGTTCAAGAACTTACCTACTTTCTCACCTAAATGCTATGTTTTCTGTATCCTTTTCTTTTCAATTCTACTTATTTATTGTTCAAGAACTTACCTACTTTCTCACCTAAATGCTATGTTTTCTGTATCCTTTTCTTTTCAATTCTACTTATTTATTGTTCAAGAACTTACCTACTTTCTCACCTAAATGCTATGTTTTCTGTATCCTTTTCTTTTCAATTCTACTTATTTATTGTTCAAGAACTTACCTACTTTCTCACCTAAATGCTATGTTTTCTGTATCCTTTTCTTTTCAATTCTACTTATTTATTGTTCAAAAACTTACCTACTTTCTCACCTAAATGCTATGTTTTCTGTATACTTGTCTTTTCAATTCTACTTATTTATTGTTCAAGAACTTACCTACTTTTTCACCTAAATGCTATGTTTTCTGTATCCTTTTCTTTTCAATTCTACTTATTTATTGTTCAAGAACTTACCTACTTTCTCACCTAAATGCTATGTTTTCTGTATCCTTGTCTTTTCAATTCTACTTATTTATTGTTCAAGAACTTACCTACTTTCTCACCTAAATGCTATGTTTTCTGTATCCTTGTCTTTTCAATTCTACTTATTTATTGTTCAAGAACTTACCTACTTTCTCACCTAAATGCTATGTTTTCTGTATCCTTTTCTTTTCAATTCTACTTATTTATTGTTCAAGAACTTACCTACTTTCTCACCTAAATGCTATGTTTTCTGTAGCCTTCTCTTTTCGATTCTACATATTTATTGTTCAAGAACTTACCTACTTTCTCACCTAAATGCTATGTTTTCTGTATCCTTTTTTTTCAATTCTACTTATTTATTGTTCAAGAACTTACCTACTTTCTCACCTAAATGCTATGTTTTCTGTATCCTTTTCTTTTCAATTCTACTTATTTATTGTTCAAGAACTTACCTACTTTCTCACCTAAATGCTATGTTTTCTGTATCCTTTTCTTTTCAATTCTACTTATTTATTGTTCAAGAACTTACCTACTTTCTCACCTAAATGCTATGTTTTCTGTATCCTTTTCTTTTCAATTCTACTTATTTATTGTTCAAGAACTTACCTACTTTCTCACCTAAATGCTATGTTTTCTGTATCCTTTTCTTTTCAATTCTACTTATTTATTGTTCAAGAACTTACCTACTTTCTCACCTAATTACTATGTTTTCTGTATCCTTTTCTTTTCAATTCTACTTATTTATTGTTCAAAAACTTACCTACTTTCTCACCTAAATGCTATGTTTTCTGTATACTTGTCTTTTCAATTCTACTTATTTATTGTTCAAGAACTTACCTACTTTTTCACCTAAATGCTATGTTTTCTGTATCCTTTTCTTTTCAATTCTACTTATTTATTGTTCAAGAACTTACCTACTTTCTCACCTAAATGCTATGTTTTCTGTATCCTTTTCTTTTCAATTCTACTTATTTATTGTTCAAGAACTTACCTACTTTCTCACCTAAATGCTATGTTTTCTGTATACTTGTCTTTTCAATTCTACTTATTTATTGTTCAAGAACTTACCTACTTTTTCACCTAAATGCTATGTTTTCTGTATCCTTTTCTTTTCAATTCTACTTATTTATTGTTCATGAACTTACCTACTTTCTCACCTAAATGCTATGTTTTCTGTATCCTTTTCTTTTCAATTCTACTTATTTATTGTTCAAGAACTTACCTACTTTCTCACCTAAATGCTATGTTTTCTGTATCCTTTTTTTTCAATTCTACTTATTTATTGTTCAAGAACTTACCTACTTTCTCACCTAAATGCTATGTTTTCTGTATCCTTTTCTTTTCAATTCTACTTATTTATTGTTCAAGAACTTACCTACTTTCTCACCTAAATGCTATGTTTTCTGTATCCTTTTCTTTTCAATTCTACTTATTTATTGTTCAAGAACTTACCTACTTTCTCACCTAAATGCTATGTTTTCTGTATCCTTTTCTTTTCAATTCTACTTATTTATTGTTCAAGAACTTACCTACTTTCTCACCTAAATGCTATGTTTTCTGTATCCTTTTCTTTTCAATTCTACTTATTTATTGTTCAAAAACTTACCTACTTTCTCACCTAAATGCTATGTTTTCTGTATACTTGTCTTTTCAATTCTACTTATTTATTGTTCAAGAACTTACCTACTTTTTCACCTAAATGCTATGTTTTCTGTATCCTTTTCTTTTCAATTCTACTTATTTATTGTTCAAGAACTTACCTACTTTCTCACCTAAATGCTATGTTTTCTGTATCCTTGTCTTTTCAATTCTACTTATTTATTGTTCAAGAACTTACCTACTTTCTCACCTAAATGCTATGTTTTCTGTATCCTTGTCTTTTCAATTCTACTTATTTATTGTTCAAGAACTTACCTACTTTCTCACCTAAATGCTATGTTTTCTGTATCCTTTTCTTTTCAATTCTACTTATTTATTGTTCAAGAACTTACCTACTTTCTCACCTAAATGCTATGTTTTCTGTAGCCTTCTCTTTTCGATTCTACATATTTATTGTTCAAAAACTTACCTACTTTCTTGACTTTTTCATTTTTAAATTAAGGGATGTGTGTACGATTATGAATAAACCTGCTGCCTCCCCTAACTTTCGTCAAAATGCATGGCTTGCAAACACAAATCAACAACAACCGTTTGGGACTGCCCAATTTGGCGGAGCTGGAATTTATAAAAATGTTACGTTTGGAAATACAAATGGAGGTGTAAATACAACAAGAACCCCCTCTGCCGTGCAAGCCGAACTTTCTTCTGATCCTATTGGTATTGATTGGATCTCCTGACAAATTAAATATGCATTTGGCAGAATTGCTTTTTTACTCTCTGTTCAACTCCAATTTTTTCTTCTAAAAGCACAATGCCTAAAGAACGAATGTCACGATTACTGTCTCGTCAGGAAGAATTGTTTCGTGAAGTTGTTGATTTATCACAACATTTGACCGTACAATCTACAACTGATTTTATGGCTGATTCTAATGAAGATTGGTCAAGGAGAGATGTGAAATGGTTTTTTTTTAATTTTGCTTTAATTAAAGAATTTTTTCTTTTAAAAATAGATGGCTCTTTCTTTATTAATGTGGTCAGGTTCCTGTGTTATTTGGCGTAATTCTGATCCAGCTTGCTTGCAATATAAACAAACTTTGGCAATGTGTTCTGAGCTTTCTCCAAAGATTATTTTGTATTTTTTAAATTTTATATTTTTTTGAAATATTATTTTAGGCAATTAGCTCGTTTAATTTCATTTAACACTAATTATTGTGGAACAAACAATCAACCAGAACTTTTGGACCAATTCTATGACATTTATGGATTTGATGAATCTCCTGTTCCAGAGAATTTAATGATTTTGGCTGTTCTTTCGCATTAATAGATTGCTTAATATCTGTAGTTTGAAGATTTGGATACAAAAAACTGTGCAAATTTGTGAACAAGATTGTTAGTTTTTTTTTAACTTTTTATTTTATGGATTAAGAGTTTTGTTTTTCTTTTTTAATTTCTGTTTGGTAATACTTTTCCTTTATTTTTTAAAATTCATTAATGGTATAGTACGATTAAAATTTTCAGTAAAAGAAGAGGAAGACTTCAAGCAATTGTTCAATGTATGTATTGAAGAATTAACTATAATGACCGATGTTTGTAAATTTCTCGAACAAAGTGAATATGGACCTGCTTTCTTCCGCAATATTATGAATTTCCTCGTTAATGCAACAAAAAATAGTGAACTTATTTCTACTGCAATTCCTCAAGGGAACGGAAATATTTTCATGGTGATGTAATTAATAATGTTGTTAATGAAGTTGTTCCTCGTATTCGTTCTTCATTTATTAATTTAACTCGAAGGTTTTTTTAATTTTAAATTTTTAAAAATATTTGTTATAGATGTTTAACTGTTGGTGGTAAACATCGTGAAGAATTGCTAAATATTTTTTGAGAAATATTGAGAGATAGAAATGAGAATTCTTCAAATAGAATTCTTCAGAATTCTTCAATCGTTTTGGATAATGAAATTATTAAGGTTTTTTGTTTAAGTGAAAGATTTATTTTATTTTGTGTTCTAGGTACACTTTACTAATGTTGTAGAACAATTACCTGATAGGGTTGTTTTGTACAACACAATTTTACCAATTTATGAAAGTCATCGACGAATGGTTCATCCAATTTTTGGTTGTCTCTCTGATGATTGTGTTCTCAATTTTGGTCTCTATACAAAATGTTCTGAACTAATTCCTTCTTCGCTTCAATCGGGTGCTGATACTATTGAAGAATCTTCAACATATGCATCGAAAGTTTCATCAAAGACGACTGCTTCCACTGAGAAACTTCCATTAAAGAATACAAAATATTCAGCAGCAGATCCACCTTCATTCACCGACTACATGTAAAGTTTTAAATTTATTTTTTAAATCGTTAGAATTGCCGGTTCAGAATCAAACCGAAACCTCGATAATTTTTGGTTTGTTTCTCCGTGTCGGTTTTAGGTTTCCAATGATTTTCGAGGTTCCAAAGACCAGATAATAAACCTTTTAATATCTAATAAACCTTTAAATATCGACCATAAATTGGGTTTTGTGAGGTGAATAATGGGGTTGTTCACGGTCGGTTAACCGAAACCGGTGTTTTTGGCTAATAAACCGAAAACCGGGGGTCGTAAACCGGTCAAAACCGAAAACCTGGGGTACCGGTTAATAACCGGTAGTGAACAACCCTACTGAATAACACTAGAATAGCCAATTATAGGCAAATTTATTATAAATAACCTAATATTTGTTTATTTTAGCTCCAAGATCTACAGTTCAAAGATTCGTAATAATGTTAAATCAACCTTTGTAACTCCTAAAAATTTATTATAACAACAACAACAAAAGAATATCAACCAATCATACTACAATTACTATTATTACACTCAAACTTTTTCAACAAATGTTTTAGCAACATCTATTACTGCTTCTTATAATATCACAACGTTTGGGTGTTTCTCATGAACATTAAGGTTTTATTTTTCTTTTTTTCCTAATAATTCAAAAAATTTTAAAGCTCATCAAGAAGAGCTTCTTTTATTCCCTTTTGTTGTTTTCGAAACAACCAAATCGTTTGGAGCCTTTACATCCTGCTATTGCTGAAGAACAGCCAATGGTTTCTTAAAATATTTTTGCTTTTTAAAAATATTTTTTAAAAGGTTGAATTATTAAATTATGTTTTGAATGCTGCTTTTCGTATGGAACGTTTATTCCAACTTGCTGGCACATTACAACAACAGACAATGGATTTACAATTAATTGGCGGCAGTGGAGGTGTTGGTGGACAAACTGTTTATATTACAAATCCATCAATTCACCGGTGCTATGCCTGCAACAACGTTATCTTCAGAAACAATAAATTCAACAACAACGAAATCTCTTGCACCAGTTTCAATAACACAATCTAATGCTTCGTTAGCCACAACTGAGAATAAAGGAACTCCAGTTGTTATTACATTGGGCGATGATATTGAAGTACCTGGACCAACTGAAATGACGACTGGCAAAACTCCAGTTGTAAAAGCACCAATTAAGGGAGGAACATCAAATATTCCACCCACCAAAGCAACACCGGCACAAACAAGTGGTCTCACTTCAGCAGCGTCTCCAACTTCTGTACCTCAACAGACAACTACAACAACACAAACCCAAACTAATGGAAATTATTGGGCAAAAGGCACAGGTTTTGGTAGTGGAACTACTCAACAGCAATGGAGTCTTAGTCAACATGTTGCAAAAAGAAGGCAAGATGAAAATAATGTTGCAGCATTGTTGCATGTATAATTTTTGTTTAGAATCTGAAATAATAATAAAATATTTTTTTAAAGATTCTTATCGCCTTTATTAGTCCTTTATCACAACGATTACAAGAAAATCAATCAACATTTTCAAATAAAAAAGAAGAAGAGAAACAAGAGACAACAAATTCTGGTGATGGAATAGAATTGGTTTTGCCAATATTTAATGAAGAAATAACTTGTTCCAAGGAAGATGAAAAGACAAATAGAATGAAACTGAAGAGAAGAAGAGGAAAGGATTGGATATTCCGAGTATTAAGCTTTCTGAAGAGTTTGTTGAACTTCTTTTCTGACCAACTGAAACAGGCAAAACTCCAGCTGTAAAAACAACTACTGAAGGATGAATATCAAATATTCCTCCAACCAAAACAACACCGGCACAACCAAATGCTGCTAACACACGAGGATTTATTGCTCTCACTTCACCAGCGTCTCCAACTTATGTACCTCAACAGACAACTACAACAACACAAACCAAAATGATGTAAGTTATTGGGCAAAAGGCACAGGTCTTAGTAGTTGAGCCACTCTCAACAGCAATGGAGTCTTAGTCAACATATTGCAAAAAGAAGGCAAGATGAAAATAATGTTGCAGCTTTGTTACATGTATAATTTTTGTTTTGAATCCAAAATAATAATAAAATATTTTTTATGATTCAGTGAAGCAGCTGGGCTATATCTATTTTCTCCTTTAACTAGTGCAAAAGGTTAATCGGCGGCTGGGGTCTTATTTTTTAGAAGGATGATTGGTCTGACGAATTCAATTCTGCCTCACCATCGACTCCTTTGGGACCTCATTCTTCGTCAATTACCGGCGTCCAATGCGCAATGCCAAAGTTTGCTTCGAAATTGCCAGCTGCTTCTTCAATCCTGAATGATAGTTCTGATCAACGAAAAATTTAATTAATTGATGCAAACACACAACTTTTTTTTGATGAAGGAATTAAATACATATGGGGAGTTGTTTGACAACGTAAAAATAATAATAGTGGAGATTCTGAAAATGGTGAACACATGATGTTATGTTTAAGTATGAGATGTGTACCAGAATCAACGCCTGGTAAATATTTGAATAAATTTTGGAATTTTTTGTGCAGAAATAATTTTCAAAATTTTAGCAGCGAAGCGAAGAGTTTCACAAAAAGCCTCCAAAAATGCTAAAAAATCTAAAATTGAGGAAAAATCTTCAATTTCTGTTTCCACTCTTGAACATTTTGCACGTTAAGGTGGACTGGTTGAATTATCTAAACATATCTTTATCGACGGTGTTTGACTCGTTTGCATATCTGGTACTTAATTTAAATAATTTTTCTTTTTAATTAAAAAAATTTTTTAGTCAAGAAAGATTGTCTTCTGACTTGATTGAACGTCTACAACGTGTTTGCTCTAATAATAACGTTAGTGTTTCTGCTGCTCATCAGTTCCAACAGCAGTCACCAGCTTCAACTGCATCAGCTTCCACAGCTCAGGGTCCTCCACAAATTTTGCAGGCTTTATCTGCTCCTCCAGGCTTTACTCCAACCTGTAAACCCTAACTCCTATTTATTTTCAAGAAATATTTTTTATAATTTTTTAGTTACCATTTTTTCAAACACAACCACCCTGTTTGTATTCAAATACTATTTCTAATATTCCAATGACTCAATTATTTATTTAACAATAATAATGAATGGCCTCCTCTTCAACCTGTTGGATTGGGAAATAATTTAAATGGAGTATGGAATATTTTTGGTACTTAAAAAGTTCTGTGAAATGTTGATAATGGAAGGATGGTAAAATTTATTCAATTTTACTTGTTAAATATAAAATTTTTTTCATTATTAGACCTATACTCGTCCGCCATTGATGCCAAATTCACCTCCCATTGATCAATTTTTCTTTAATTCTGTACATGTTATTGTTTTACTTGAATATTTCTTCGTTTAGAACAATATGGAGAATTAATTATTAAAATGGATTGTGAAAAGATAACAATTTATTATTAGAATGGATTAGTCTGATGAATTGAATTATGCTAGAACGTGAAATTTATTGTTTTTTAAGAACATTTTTAAAATATATATAGGAGATAATATTACAAATCGTATCGAAGATTTGATTTTATATATTCTTTTTTACTTGTAAATTTCGGTTAACTGAACCGAAGCGGAGGTTAAAACCTAAATCAAAAGTCTTTCGGATTAAAATATATACCCCGTGATATGCATTTTCAAAATTTAACGAATGGAATAGAAATTTACCAGAAAATCCGGTTCGGTTAACCAAAAGATTAGAGCCTCGACCTAGAGCCGAAAGTCCTAGTGTATCGGATTTGAGCATGTATTTCTTATTATGATTGTTTTTTAAAAATTTTGTCTTGAAAATTAAACATTTTTATTAAAATTAATTTTTATTATTAATTGAAATTTTATTCTATATTTTTAAATGAAAATTTAATAATTTTTTTACAATTTTTTTAAAAGCTGCTTTAAAACTTAAAATTCTCCAAAATGACTGAAAATTTTAAAAATTGCAATGACAATTTGTCTACATCATCATATTCTTGTTGTTCTTGTTGTTCATCGTACAATTCTGATTTTCAACAAATACTAAAATTGTTGGAGGTAGAAATTAAATAAATATAAAAATTAAATAAATGTTTTAACTTTTAGGAACAAAAAAACGACAAATTGGATTTTCAATTTTTATTTGATAAATTGGAAGTGGTAATTTTTTAATTGATGTAAAAATCTGTTGCCATTCCCGGTTGTCCAAGAATGCCAATTTTTTATATAAAAATTAAGACCCCACCCCGAAATATCGACACTCTAAACTTCGATGATCCAAAATATCGAAAGGCGTATAATGAAACGTGGTTGATCGCTGATATCAGATAAATGCGAATTCACATGTCTGGTGAAGGTATTGACGTGATAATGGCTTTATTAACGTTGTTTTTATTGTACTATCAAAAATTGCGATATTTTTGGGGGCGATATTTAGGCTGATGATATTTTGGGTGTCAATATTCTTGGGTGATCCCAAAATGAAATACCAAATTTATTTACTTATAATAAACAAATATTGATAAATCATTAAAATATATAATTTTAGTTAACTGTTAAAGAAGAAATAGGCCAACAAGAAATAATCAAAGAATTACAAGAATTGAATGAAAAAACGAGTGGAAATGTAAAAAAAATAATTTTTAAAAATTATGATCTAAAAATATTTTTCAGCAAAAAATTCTGGAACACGTAAAAAAAATTACTTTTCAAGAAGTTGAAAACAAAAAATTAAATTGTGAAGTGGAACAACAAAAAATATTTATAAAAAAATTGGAAGAAGACAAATTAACAAAGGATCAAGTAATTAAAACTATGACAGAAAATGCTGAAGATAATATTAGAGAAAAAAATTTAACTTTACTTGAATTGGTTAAAAAAGAAGAGGAAATGGATAAAATTAGAGAAGAAGGAGATGAATATTTTAATAAATTAAGTGTGTCAAATGATAAATTGGAAGAATCTTCAAAAAAAATTAATATACTTGAAGAAGAAAATAAAAAATTAAATAAAAATATGTCTCAACTTAAAAAAGACATTTTTCAAAATAAGAAGAATTATGAACAAGAAATTCAAGTAATTTTTATCTTATTTAAAAAAAATTTTACTTTTGGTTTACTTAAAAATTTTTTGTGTTTTGGGGACCTATGCCCAGTTAGTTTAAATATTTTCGCCATTATATTCAAAAAAATATGAAAGGTTGTAATTTGGAATTTCTAAGAGGGGACCAACATATGTGTATTATTAATCGAGATTGGCCGTATCGTACGACGTATTTTTCGGTATTATACGGTATTACGGTACGGTATGGTAAAAATTCTGATCTCTAATTATTATTTTCCTTCGCTCAAATAAATTTCAAATTAAAATTAATTTTTAGAAATTTACAAATATGGCGGACAAATTATCAAAAATAAATTTAAATTTAAAAGAAGATAAAGATGAAGTAAATAAAAAAGTAAATAAAATTTTTTTATTAATTAATTTTTAACAATTTAAAATTAGAACAAAGATCTTTTGGAAAAAAATGAACAATTACAATCTCAACTTAAAAATTGTTATAAATTGATTCAAGAAAAAAACAAAAAAATTTGTTCATTTGAAATGCAAGCTAAAAAGGTATTAAAAACATTTATAAAGATCCCCCTCTCCCAACTGTTAGATATTGCATTTCCTTGGACAATAGGCAATTATTGTTTCAATCACATGCCAGGGGGGGGGGGTAACTAATAGAGGAAAAGTAATTATTTTGGGGAAGGCATTTAATACATATTATACGTTATCTCAAACAATCTATCATTAAGTTGTTCCTTGTTTTTCTTTAACGATAAAGGGATCTAGCTCTCCCCGTTTCATCCGCTTTATTTTTAAATTTAAATTTTTAAGTTGGAAAAAGAAAAAAATGATTTATCAATAAAAAATGTGGAATTGAAAACTCAATTAGTTGAAGTTTATAAAAAAATTGGAGAAAAAATTGTAAGATTTTTAAAGCTGGATAAACTAGGGCTGAACGTAATGAAAAAGATTTTGCTCGGCCGCAGTCCGCAATTTTAATTTTGAAATCCGCATTCTGCAAGTTTTCACAGATTCCCATCAATCACAAATCAAGTCAGTCTTTTCCTTAAATTTCTCTAAAATTCACAGTTGCGTCCACAAAAATTCACAGTTGCGTCCACAGTCTGCGTTCAGCCCTGATAGGGACGCTGACTTTCACCTTCTATTTTAATAGATCTTTTGAACCCCCGCCTAGTAAGCGTTTTAAATGCTAACCACAATTACCTAGATTTTTCTCTTCTTTAAAATATGTAAATTTTTTTCAGACATTTATGAAAAGACCAAATGAATTCTGCACAATTAAAATTTATTCGTGTTGCAACAATAATTGTATTAATTCTAATTTATCTGATGGAATATGTATTAATGGGAATGGATACATTAATGTTCATAAAAACGAAATAACATATAATAACTCTTTGACTGGGGGCGAAAATAAATGGATTTTTATTCACTCCCGTCATCCTTTTGCAAAAACTTCTGGCTTCAGCAACAACTATTCTTTATTTTATTTTGAAGTGACAATTTATAATGAAGGAAATGATTCGTAATGTTTTTTAAATTAATAAAAGAAAATAATTATTTTTTCAATAAATTAACTGTTATTTGGGGAGGAAAAAATGGAATAATTTACATAACTTTAACTGTGGGCCAGGGGCCCAAGCATTTGTAATTTTTTCGGGGTTACAGTCAGAGCTATTCCGAAATTTTGATTTTTCGTAAAAAAATTTTTAAAAATTCGAAAAACGAAATTTCGAAAATTTTCGAAATTTCGAAAAATTCTGTTCTTTCGCGAAATTTTTTGTTTCGAAAAAGCTTTGGTTACAGGATTTCGCCTAAGCCTGTAAAGTTAAATTTATAGTTGATTACCTAATTAGTCTTTTTACCCATTGAATTTTTCTCCGTTTAAATTTTTCAGAGAAATTTTTTAAATAATAAATTTGACCTTAAAAGACCTGTAATTTTATTTAAAAAACTTATTAACAATTTTTATAGGGCTTATGCGGGTATTGGAGTTGGCTATAATTATGGTTTTGATGTTACACCTGTAGCTAAAATATATTTGTGCAACATTAATGACTCGTATTGTGAAAACTGTTCAAAATATGAATGGAAAAATGGGGATGTTTTTGGCTGTGGAATTGTTTTCCCTCCAAAAAATGATTCAAAAACAAAGGCTTATGGATTTTTTACTAAAAATGGAAATAAAATTGGTGAGTTTAAAACGAAAAAATAATTTTTGGTCTGAAAAAGTTTTTAAATTTCTCGATGACCTTTTGGTGTAGAGACCGGACTTAGAAGATTTCGAACGAAAATCTCGGTTATCGAGAATTGATATTTTTTGGGGTTATCTTTTAATTACCAATTCTTGTTCCAAAACACCGAAAATTTCTAGCCTTATTCAGTTTGACATAAAATTTAACCTTTTCCTTCATTACAAAGAACTGGAATCTCTCGCATCTCTGCTTTCCTTATAAAAAATAAGGAAGAAAGGGAAGGAAAAAATAAAAAAATCAGTAAAAAGTGGGGGGAGGGGAGGGGTACGAGCCGAACTATTACCCTATATTTAAGTTAAAATTTCAAAAATACTAGGGATATACTAAATTCACAGTCCTTTTTTGTATATTTTTCAAAAAAAATTTTTTTGAGACTAATATCTAAAAATTTTTAAGGAAAAAATATTTTGTTGGAAAATGATGAAATTAATTTTTATCCATTTATTGGACTTTCTTCTTGTTCTGCCAAAACAAATTTTGGAAGTGAAGCAACCCCTTTTATGTATGATGTGAACAAGCATGTTCATTGAAGAAATTGAATTTTTATTTATTTTTTGATTGTTTTTTTTTTTGATTATTTATCTATTATTTTTTTGTTTATTTATTTATTTTTTCCTTTAAATTTTATTTTAAATTAGTAAAGTTGTACCCCGAACGTTAAAGGGGTAAGTGTGTTGATGTACGGGGTTATTGAATTGTTCCGGGTTTGGGGTTCGGGTTGGGGAGAATTGTGAAAAAATCGTTCGGTGTCGGGGTACAACACTTTAAAATTACAAAAAATATTTTATTTTGAATAAATTAAATCGAAAAAAGTCGAAAATTTCTCTTATAATTTTGTTTTAAGTGGACTTTTTAATCCATATATTTTTAACGTCAGAAAAACATTTTTTTATCTTTTCAGGGGGTTATCCAAGATCGGCCTGTGTCGTGGAGCAAGAGAATAACAGTTTTTCAAAGCAGCCGTTTGTAGACCAAACGTCCGCTAACCGTTTGTAGACCAAACGTCCGCTAACCGTTTGTAGACCAAACGTCCGCTAACCGTTTGTAGACCAAACGTCCGCTGACACATTGTCTTGGAGCCTCCATAAAATCAAGAATTTTTTGTTTTTTTTAATCTTTTCAGCAAAAAAAAGAGCAAAAATTAAAATAATTATAATTATTTTTTAGATTAAATCAACTCAACTTAATCTTTAAAAACAAAAATTTATTTTCAATTATGTATTGTCTTCAATGGTTAATGCCTATCCTTTTAATACCCAAACAATTAGTTCATCCAGCATTTTTAATTGATCAAGCGCTCTTTTTGTGGTTTTATATTGCTGGTTTTGTTTTGGAAAGAAGGTTTATTTAAATTTATTTTTTGTTAGGAAGGGAGGAGTATCGATAAACAACCAAGAGATCGGGAACTTAAAAGAGACTTTGATTCTTAAGTTTGGTCGAGGCCCTGACTGATTGTGAGTCAAAGAAAAACCAAAGAACACTGAAAATTAGGACTTATCCAAAATCATTTGTACGAAAAACTGGTTTGGGATAACCCATAAGTACCAAAAATGTCTTTAACTTGATTCTAGTTCCAACGAAAATCAAGATCCAGGCCGATCTCAAGTCCCAATAAAACAAGATTTTAAATAAAAGGGTGGAAACATGGTACCCGTTGAGCAACATTTTTATTCCATTTTGTACCAATTACCTTTGAAATAGGGTCATTAGGGGAGTCATGGGTTCGAGTCCGCTTGGGGAAATTATTTTTTAAAATTTTCGTAAGGACAAAAGTAGACCATTTTGAGCTTTTCTAGGGTGACTTTTGGGAGGCACAGTCTCTGTAACACTGGAAAATACCCTCAGGGCATCATTTGGTTTTCTTTAGTATGGCTGTTGGTAGTAAACCGAAAAAAGGATTTGGGCTCGGTTTTTTAAGTTTGGGCTCGATTTTTGATTACCGGCTTGGTATAACCAAAAGAATTTCCGAAACAAACAACTCCCTCTACACAAGCACTACTCTAGCATTTTTAATAAAAAAATTTTTAATTCAGACCCTGCTATATTTGTCTAGCTATATTTATTCTAACCGTTTTGGTTCTTTGTTATAGTGATGAAGAACGTTGTGTACTATGGCCAATTTGTGAAACAATGATGAATGGGGAAATGTGTAAAAATGCTTATGAAAGGAGAATGGCTACACAAAAGTATTAAAATTTTTTTAATTTTTTGGTATTACTGCTTCCATTTCTCTTACATACTTTCTGAATTTATGGAGTCATTACGAAGGGAGTGGGTTAGAGTTCACCCACGACCTCCGTAATGACCTCATAATCCGTAATGACCTCATGGGTTAGAGTTCACTTGCTGATTTTGCGAAATCTTCGGATATTTCGAAATTTTCGGCTATCTGAACTTTCTTGGGTCCGTCCAACTCATTTGGCCCGATTTTTGGTAAGACCGTTTTGTCCGTCCGAGTTTTGTCCTGGCACGACTGGGGTATTGTTCTCTACACCATATCGAGTAACAGCAAGTGATGGCTCATTTCCTCTCCCCGTATACCCTCAGGACATGTTTTCTGCATTGTTTGAAGTAGCTGCAAGTAATAGCTCCTCCAACGCGGCTCTTCAAGCTGTGCCGATGAAACTCGAATTATCTCGATTTTGTGAACTCTGAAAAAATTATGACCCTTTAAGCGGGACGGTGTCTGATCTAAATAATTTAACTTTCATTCACGGCAGTAGTACCAATTTTTTAATATTTTTTGGGAATTAAAAATTCAACTTTGTATTAAATTTAGAGCTCGATAAATAAAAAACGATAAAAATTTTTTCCAAATTAACCGAATAAAAAAATATTTTTTGTGGATTTTTTTTTGTTTCTCGAGCTTTTTCCAAATATTTTTAGATTTTATATATTTATGTTTATAATTTTTAATTGCTATTTACCTACATAATTATGTATGGTTGGTTGCCGGAATTTTGGTTACAATGGAATTTTGGTCTCGTTTGTATATCCGTTGGTTTTCTTCATAACCTGGACCCGTATCATAAGACTGGGCAAAATGTCCCGGTCACTTTAACAATAAGAGAACCTCGTGGTTTACCACCGTCGTAGGGTCACTTTTCTATGAACCAGCTCCAATGCTATTTTTTCTGGAGTTATACAACGAAATAAAATCTTTTGTCACTCCTTTTCCTTGTTCATTCCTAGGCAAACTCGTAATCCATGTTCATTAACAACCCCTACTTTTGAATAAATCCAGGCATTAACCGAGGCCAACCAAAATTCCAGGATTCAATTATTTTGCTTTTTTTAACTATATTTGTATAGAAAATGGATTAAAATATTTTACCTTTTTTTAATAAAAATTTTTTTGGTTTTTTGAATAAATGAGAAAAAATTTTTTTCTTTGATTTTTATTTTATAACTATTTAATTTTTATGTATATTTTTTAATTATTTTCATTAAAAAAAATTTTTTTAATTTCAAGCTATATAGAATATTTTTCGAAAAAAATAATGGGAATTGGTGGAGTTTTCTATCGAACGTTTGGTAGACGTTTCTCTACACTTTTGTTGTTCTCTGCTGGTAGCGGTATATTTTTGGATATTTATGTGAGTACAGGTTTATTTAATAAATAAAGGACTTTGAAATTTTTTGTGGCTAATTAATTGAGGATAATTTTCCGATGACAGGGCACCAACCATTAACTAAATATAGTACCCTCAAATAATTAATCGATGGACTTTTTCTGTTCCTGCCAGTAACTAAAGGTTCTCCGTAGTTTATACTAGAGATCGGGAATTTTGAAAAGCCTGGACCTGTTCCTGGACTCTGGAGTTGATTTCTTGACCTGGACTGGAGTCTGGGCCTGTAGTCCGGGAAAAACCCAGTCCCAGGAAAAACCCAGGAAGGTCAAAGAATACCTGGACTCTGGGTACAGGAAAAACCCAGAACTTGGTCCAGACCCAGGCCGATCTCTAGTTTATACTAGGGTATTTTGCTACAACTTTATACTAGGGTGTTTTTTACCCTTTGTGGTCGGAGATCGGGATTTGCCGGGGAGGGCAAAGGGGTCGGATTACTACACTAGTTTATACAACGAACTTCACTATAGAATAGTAGACCCCTAAGGATAGGCAAATTTCCTTCACTCGATTGTCAACCAAATCTTAAACATATCCTTAAATTGAGGTGTATTTAATGGGTCTGGACTAGAGATCGGCCTGGGTCTACCTGGGGTTTTTCCTGTACCCAGAGTCTAGGCCTAGGCATTCTTTGACCTTCCTGGGGTTTTTCCCGGTTTTTCCTTTGTCTTTCCTGGACTACAGGCCCAGGATCCGGTTTAGGTCAATAAATCAAAAAACGGCACCCGGGAACAGGCTCAGGTTTTTGTTTTTCAAAAATCTTTATCTCTAGTCTGGACCGAATTTAATAAATTATTTTAATTAAAAAATATTTTTTAGATCAACAAATTTGGACAATTCATTTGGGATTACAAAAATTATGGTAAAATAATTTTTAAAATTTTTTTTATCCCTAGTCTGACCATTTTGAGCCTTTTAAAAGGCTATAGGAGAGACAGAATTTTTTAAATTTATTTTTTCTTTTCAGGAAAGCAGTGGAAGGACATTAAATACCGATATATGGAAGAATCTGAATAAAGTGAAAGGAGAGAGTTGAATGTTCTAAATGAGAAGAGTGGGATAAAAAATAAATTTCCGTCCAAATTTATAGGTTATATTTTAATGTAAAATTGTTTTCTTTTTGTGGTTTAAAATAAAAATTAGTATTGAATTTGTAGAAGAAAGCTTCCTAGTTTTTAAATGATTATTGGCCTAATTCTTTTAATTTGTCATTCTAACGATAATAAAGCAGAGCCTCCAGCTAGTGGTCGCTCCTTCAGCTAGTGCCAAAGGTTATTCGGCGGCTGGGAGCGAACTACCAGCATTTTCAGTAGACCGGACTGATGTGTTAGCAATTACAACACGCCGTCTACTGCACAGCCTTAGGAAATTAATACGTAGCAGTTTATGTGCTTGATATAATTATAGTCTCTTCTCTTCCAGATGTGTAGAGGAGAAATTTTGTGTTTTCGACGTTTTCCTCCGATTTTGCAAAAAAATTCTTTTTTATTTTTGGGTTATTTTTTTTAATTTTAAGCTACAAGTAGGCTACTTCCATTTTCAACTCATTTAATTTTCTACAATCTTGACTTGTGTTGATCCTTAATGGTTTTTTGTTTTTTTATCTGTTCCAGACAACTTAGACCGAAAAGAAATCCCCTTTTTTAGTTTTTTTCCAATATTAATCTCATTTTATTCGAAAGTCCTCAATAAACAGAATCTCTTCTCCAAATAAATGGATAAAGTCTAACCACTAATCAAAAAATTAATTCATCTATTTCCGTGTGGAACGACTATTTATAAAAACTTTCCCTTATGGATCATTTGACTTTTGATGTTTTGAAAAATTTAAATTTTATTTCGAAACGATATTCTCTGCAGTTTATTTGCAGTTTTCTCTCTTCGATTTTTCTTTCTCTTATCTTTACATTTAATTTTTGGATTTCCTTTCAAAATTTTTTAATTAAATTTGTAATTTAATAACTAAATTTTTTTAGCATTTTTTATTTCTAAATAATTCAAAACCTTCAATTAATTAAAAATTCTTGGATAAAATGGTATATTTTTTAATTGCCTTTTTCCACTAAATTTTTAAATTTAGGCAGAAACTACAAAAACTCCTGGAGGCGGTAAAGTTGTTCCACGTTCTGCTGCTGGTGTTGTTCGCCAACGGTATAATTTTTAAATAGGATAAATCATCTGATAGGGAACAGGACGAGGAGCTACGCTAATTGACCCAGAATCCGAGTCTGGGCATATTCTTGGGGGTTTTATTTACTTCCGATTTGACTCTTGCCAAGGTCACTGGGTTGGAATACAATCGAGCCTTGTTTTACATATACCCCCGATTCTCAGGAATCTGGTTAAAGCCCTCAGCCAAAATTAAGACTCGAAGTTTTTTAAGTTTCCGATGCTAAACGTAATTGTTGAGATTCGTGTTTCAGTAATAGTTAGGAAGTCCCCCCTTTTTTCTCGTTTCCCTGACCATTTTGAGCTTTTTGATGATAAACTAGTGAACGATCGTCGAGGGAAACTAGGAAAAAATAGAAAGGAAAAGGGGGGCGAATTCCAAACACCGGGTTTTCCCTTATTGGGTATTGCTTAAATTACGTGGTGTTATTAAAAAAGTTATTAAAAATGACCCAACGACTTTGATAAGGTCTTAGGCCTGGCGTCAAACCTGTTTCTGTTTCCAGGCAACTATCAGACTCTGGTTACGCAAAACTTGGTTTCTCGTCCTGCCCGATTGCTAATAGTCCAAGCCCAGGCCTTTTAAACATCTTTATCTTTATTCGCAATATTTCAGTCGTGGAGGAACAACTACAAATTCACGAGCTCGCACAACAGCTGGAGGGCCAAATAGTGGTGGACTTTGGCGTTTTTACACTGAAGACTCTACTGGATTGAAAATGTTTGAACTTTAAATTTTTTCTTTGAAATTTCCCCAATTTTTTCAGTGGACCTGTTCCCGTTCTAGTCATGTCACTTGTATTCATTGCCAGCGTATTTATTCTTCACATGTGGGGCAAATATACTCGAAGTCGTTAAATTGACAGTGGACGTTATTTTGTGAAAGTTTTTTTTTAAATATTTTTTGGTTTAAAAAATTTATTTTTTTTTCTTTGAAAAAGACGATCGTTTGGTTAAAAAATGAAAAAGAAAAATTATTTCAGAATTCCTACTTTAAAAAATCTATGGGTTTCAACATTTAATAGTAGTTCTCCTATTTCTAACACCTCCAACCGACACCTATTTGGCTACGATAATAAACTAGTGAACGATCGTCGAGGTAGAGATTTTATTAACGCTTTTGTGAAAGAAATGTATAAATTCTACATATAATTAAAAATGTGTGATTTTAAAGAAGATTGAATGCAAAAAAATTTCAGTCTTTAAAGGTTTTTCTCTAAATTTTAACATTTGTTAATTCTTAAATTCTCCCGGATTCAAGCAAACCATTTTTTAGGATTTCCTGATTAAAGGTTAGGAGTTTGGCAAAGGTCCTCGCCCCAAAATGGAGATTTTTCGGATTCTGTCTTAAATCCCACTTCCCCACACTTTGAAATCACGAAAATACATCAATAAATGGTGACTTGTCCCGGGGTTGGAAAGAAACAGTTATCTTTTCTTTATCCTTTAATCTTTTAATAAAAAAAATTTTTTTTGACAATAAAACAACCAAAAACTCCTTTTTTACGAAGATATTGACGCTTCCAGAACCTTTTGTTGTTGTTGATTAATAGGGAAGCCAAGTGTACTTCTCACCAATTTATTAGCCGTTAACTCGAATTGTTCCCTATCTTCTCTCCACATTTTTGCTGCATTCACATTTGCGGCGCTCTCATCGTTTGGTTCTAAATTTAAAAAAAATTTTCAAAAAAATTAAAAAATAAACCAGCAAGCATAGAAACAACAGAAATTAATATTTTTTCGACTGATTGGACTGGAGACCATCGCTCTGCAGAAGTCTCATATCCTGTCGGGTCATCTTTGTAGAAAAAAATTTTGAACGGATAATTTTTAAAGAAAATTTATTACCTCCAGGAGTGTGCAAAATACTGAAAAATAAAAATATTTATTTATGTCAAGATGACGCAAAAAGGTCAAAATGTGTATCCCTGAATTTTAGCTAACAAGGGAACATTCCGAACTGTGACCAAAAATTTTCAAATAAAAATTATACCATCGTGTAGAGCATGGTCGAATACGTATTGTAGTAGGTTTCTTTTTTGGCCCTGACCCCCATTTCGGAAAGTTATAGGGCTTCAAAGTTTCCGACTTTTGGAATGGTTGAGTCTCCCTTACTTTTCTCTCCCTTTTATTTTCTTTTCTTTTCTACTCCTCTTTCTTCTCTTTTCTTCTACCCCGCTTTTTTAAACAAATAATTTTTAACAATATTTATTCATTTAATTTTAATGAGTACAACGATGAGGTTGTATAATAAAATGCTCAAAACAAATGTTGTTGGCACACCAAGAACACCTAATAAACGGGGGTTTCCCACAGTTACAATTTAAAGATATAATCATGTTTCTAAAACAATATTGAGGTGGCGTTTCATATGAAGGTATTTCTATTAATCCCAAAAATCCTGACAGCTTCCAAGCATATCGGATGAAGTTCTTAAAAACTGGAGCCGAAAACATAAAGTGTGTTTCATTGAGTATTCTGCCTATAATCGAAAAAAATACCGATAAAAATTATCCCAAAATTATACCAATGCTGGTCCTATGAGAAATGTTATAATTATTATAAGATCTTCGTATTTTTTCATGAATAATTCGCAAAAAAAGCTTTAGTTGGCGATTGAATAACCTATCCAGTGGCTGGATTTTCGAAGTCGATTTTGGAGGTAAACAAAGAAAACGTAAATGGGACCGTAGTCTGTAATTTTCAGTACACCTTTTGAAACCCGTCCAGCAATCATGTAAGAATATTGTCCCGGCTTGAACTTTTGGTGCGAATTCATTTAAGAACCATTGTAATTGTAGTTCACTAGTCATTTTTCCAGAAGGACTAGCAATACAAACCAATCGTTCAAACTGGGCCATATCCTTAATATGCCAAATTTTCACGATAATTACCCTCCCCCGATTAATTACCCCCCCCCCCCTTATACCTGATCGAATCGTTGAGGTTTTTGTGGTTCATAAAGACATAATAAGAATGTATTGAATAACTCGCCATTCAAACTAATAACCGGAAATAATGTGAAAGAATGGGTAATAGAACGAAGCTTTTGATGCGCCGCAAGGACATCCTTTGAACCTGATGCTTCTAATGTACGGTAAGAAGGAAGCTCAATGTTTACCCCTGTATGGTCGCCGTTCGTGATCTAAAAATACAAAGACCCCATCTCATTACGTTCCCTACAGGCTTTAAATGTCTCTAAAGTGTGTCTTTCTATTTCCGCAAATTTTTGAAAAGTTGTTCCTCCCTGGGAAACGTATTCTTTTATTCTCACTATCTCTTCATTACTTTTTAATTTTTTGAAATTATGTCGAATATAATTATAAGTCTTGCCGGAATTCAACAAACGGACAATTTCCAGCTGGGTCTCAAAGGGGTATTTTGATTGTGTAGGGTTCCTATTTATAGGGTTGACATCATCCGATTCTTCGTCGGAATCAAAATACACATCTTCCTCATCACTATCAGAAGATAATACAACTTCTTCAGGCTCTTGATGGGAATAATTAATAGTATCTTCGAAACCCTTTAGACCGGCCATTTTAAATAAAATAAAAGAAAATAATATTTTTGAATATTTTTTATTTTTAAATGTAAATGATTAATTTTTTCTACATATTTCAAATATATATTTAAATTTTTTTAAATTTCCCAGCTAAATTTCCATAAATTCCAATCAGTAACAATCACATTCCCTTTAATTTTTTAACAAAGAAAATAGAAGGAAGAGTAGAAGAAAAGAGAAGAAAAAGGAGTAGAAAAGAAAAGAAAATAAAAGGGAGAGAAAAGTAAGGGAGACTCAACCATTCCAAAAGTCGGAAACTTTGAAGCCCTATAACTTTCCGAAATGGGGGTCAGGGCCAAAAAAGAAACCTACTACAATACGTATTCGACCATGCTCTACACGATGGTATAATTTTTATTTGAAAATTTTTGGTCACAGTTCGGAATGTTCCCTTGTAAACCTTTGGAATCTTCGCCTCTGTTACAATCATCGCCTTCAAAATATAAAACTTCAGGGTCTTATAACCTAACTATCCAATTTAAAACCATTTAGCCTTGACAAGGGTTAGCGGATTCTGGAAAAAAACAATTTCGAACATCCGGAATTTCTTCGGATCTGAATCCGCCCACCACCTAGTCTTAACTAGTGACCTGATTTAGTTAAAGTAGCCAACTGATATATCACTTATTAACCTCTTTTCCTTTAACTTTCTTAAATGTTTCTTTTCATGTCAAAAATTTTTTGTTTACGGGGTTTGCCCTTTTTGTAAAAAAAATTAATGATTTATCGACTGCTTTGCTATCAGACAGGAAATAAAAGTCCTCAGGAAAATTCTCCCATCAAAAAATTTGGGGACCTTTGGCCCGGCTAAAACTCCCAAAAATTTAGTGATTAAATTTGGCGTCCTCTTTTCGTTAGAGGTTATTTTATTAAAATTTTTTTATTAAAAAAATGTCTACAAATAAAATTTCTGCAAAACGGACAGCAACAGAGGCCAATTTTTCGCCTCTCTCCAATAATAGCAACAACAACGAAAATCCAAATTCTCTTAATTTTCTTATTGATTGTCAAGTCAATTTGGTGAAAACAACACTAACAACAATCAATACTTTTATTCCGTCTATGACAACAGAGCAAACTCCGATTTTATTAAACTTTATTAAAACTCTGACTGAACAATTTAACCTTCTTAGTAAATCAATCGATTCACTTAAAGAAAAACAACAAGAAAAACCTTATGGATATTTTTCAGGAACAACAAAATTAAACACTATTTCAGCAGAGGAGCTAGAGCGCGAAAGAAGTGTTGTTGTGACTGGTTTGACGGAATCTACAAAAAAACTTCCATCAGAGAAAATGGCGGATGACTCCAAAACAATAACAAGTTTACTCGACTCGGTGGGGGTTGAGTGCGCACCCAGGTTTTTTTACCGTATGGGACGTCAGTCTAACCCACCCAATAATGGTCATGCCCGTCTTTTAAAGATTGTTTTACCATCCAGAAAATTTCAGCGTGAACTTCTCAACAAATGGAAAACAAATGGCAAGAAATCTTTCCCCCAAGTCAATATGCGTGCTTCAATGACACCAGAACAATTACAGCGACGAAGGGAACTAATTGAAGAGTGCAAAAAGAAGAGAATGGAGAACCCTCAATTGGACTGGATAGTTTATGGAGAAGCAGTAATTCTAAGATCGGAGGTTCACATTTTTAGAAAAAATAAAAAAATCTGACTTCAAAAAAATAATCTAAATAGATTAAATACTATTAATTTTTTATATTTTAATTCAAGAAGTTTAAAAAACAAATTGTCAAATTTACACTTTCTGTTATTAGAAAACCGTTATAAGTTAATAGGGGTTACTGAATCATGGTTGACTGATATAGTTGATGATAATCTTTTACTACATGGTACCCCATATAATATTATCAGAACTGATAGGGCCAATGGTAGGGGTGGAGGAACTTGCTTATTTATATCAAATAAAATACCATTTATTAAAATAGAAATCCCCCAAACTTTATCAGAGATATCTTGTATAGATTTATTAACCCCAGATGAAAAAATTCGTATTATTTTGATTTATAGATCAATCACTAAAGAAACCATTAAGGATTTTAAATCTATCTTGCAAATCTTGTATGATATATCGGCTGTATCCTACCCACTTATCTTATTAGGAGACTTTAACCTACCCAATATCGATTGGGAAAATTATAGTACTCAAACCAAAAATACCAAAGAAACATTATTTTTAGAATATATTCAAAGTTTAGGACTAAAACAAAAAATTGATAAACCCACTAGAGGAGTAAATATATTAGACTTACTATTAACTAATGAGGATGAATTAATAAAGGCTATAACAATCAATCCGCCTATAAGTAAATCTGACCATAATACAATAGAATTTGAAATATCTTCTACTAACAATTACCAAGATAATAATTATACATATCCAAATTTTCGTAAAGCTAACTATGAAATAATTAATGCACATTTCTCAACAATAAACTGGAATCTAGTATTCACACAATGCTCTGATATAAATCAACTATATTTCACTTTCCAATCGATTATACATAATGTTATTTGTTCCTTTGTTCCCGAATCTAAAGTAAAATCTAACAATCTCAAAAAACCCGAACACATTGAAAAAATGACATTATATCTAAAAAATCTGTGGAAACAAAAATCCACGCCAGAGCTAACACGTAAAATCTCATATGTATCAAAAAGAATAGATTCTGAAACTAACAAATTTTTAAAAAATAGAGAAAAGCATAAAACACAAACTATCAGTCAAAAATTCTCATACATCTCTTCATTTCTTAAATCCAAAAACAGGAAAATAACTTCAATTTTGGATAAAAATAATCAATTAGTATACGCTGATAATAAAATAGCACAAATTCTAAGTACCCAATTTAGTTCTGTATTTAATAAAAATTCATTAGACAATGCAGATCTAAACTCTATAACAAATCAAAATACATGTCAATCCGTAATCATAAATGAACTTCAAATCTTTGATCTTCTTTCTAAGCTACCTGAAAAAACTAACTCTTCTTATGACTCAATACCATGTATATTCCTTAAAAAATGCGCTAAAAGTCTTTATTATCCTTTATATTATATTTTTTCTTATTCATTAATGACTTCAACACTTCCTGAAATATGGAAGCAAAGTATAATAATACCAATACCAAAAACATTAAAGATACCCAAAATAGAAGAATTTCGCCCAATTTCATTACTATGTTCAATCACAAAAGTAATTGAACAAATTATTGCAAACCATATATCAATTTATGTTGAACAAAATGGTATATTACCAGATTGTCAACATGGATTCAGACCAAACAAATCCGTCACTACCCAACTAATTGAGGTTCAAGATGATATATCATTTGCATTGGATAATAAAAATTTAATAAACATAGTTTATTTCGATCTAGCTAAAGCCTTTGATTCTATACCCCATGAACGTCTTTTAACAAAACTAAAAGTAATAGGAATTGAAAAATCACTCTTAAAATGGATCTCTAATTACTTACACAACAGAAAATCTGTTGTTAAAATAGGAAATGAATATTCTGAACAATTCTCTATTACTAGTGGAGTTCCGCAAGGATCTATCTTAGGCCCGCTCCTTTTTAATATATACTTATCGGACTTACCAACATTCTGTTACACTCCTGAAATAAAAATAAAATTATTTGCCGATGACATCAAAGCCTATCAAATTCTAAAAAAAACCGATTTATCTAACAATTCTTTACAATTATTTATTAATAAATTCATTCAATATTGTAACACCAATGGTCTCAACATATCATTAAATAAATGCTCAGTATTATATATAGGTAAATCAAACCCTAAATTACAATACTCAATAGGAAACCACAAAATATTCCAAATTAGTAATGAAGACAAGAATAGGGATCTCGGAATTTTCTTCACTTCTAAATTCAAGTTTAATAAACATATTCAAACAATATCTCTAAGGGCCAATAGAAACTGCTATGCATTAATTAAATCTCTAAAATCACAAGATCCTAAAATTCTTATAGAAGCATTTAATATATACGTAAGGTCAATTATAGAATTTGGGTCACCGGTTTGGAATTCTTTAACTAAGAAAAACATTAAATTAATAGAAAACATACAAAAACGATATTTAAGATTTGTTTACAAAAGAATCACAAAGGTAAAAATAGAAGATATTCCACCATACAAAACACTTTTACAACATTTCAAAGTAGAATCCCTTGAAAGTCGAAGACTTAAAGCTGATTTAAAGCTATTTCATCAAAATATATTTGGGAAAATTAAAATTAACCATAATAATTCCTATATCATAAAACAAACAAAAACTAGGGGCGAAAAATATAAAATACAACCAACACGTTGTTCAACCATGATTCGGTACAACTCCTTTTTTGTTCGAACTGCTAGAATTTATTCACTAATTCCTATAGAAATTAAAAAAAATACACCCAAAATGTTTTCTAAACTTCTTGAACAGTTGGATATTTCCAATATCTTAAATGACAAATGAGATAATTTTATTTGCTAAGCTGCTTTGATTTTTATTTTAAGGACATTTTTTATTAGCATTTTTATTTTTCGTAATTTCACTTTAAATTGTTTTATTTTTGACTGTCACACCCTAGTGGTGTAAATAAATAAATAAATAAATAAAAATTCTCCCATCAAAAAATTTGGGGACCTTTGGCCCGGCTAAAACTCCCAAAAATTTAGTGATTAAATTTGGCGTCCTCTTTTCGTTAGAGGACGAAAAGTAACTAAAATAATCTACAAACCAACCTTATACAAACCCTCCCATCTGGATAAATATTTGGATGGAAGATATCACACAAAAATTGCATCTTTGGCGGGCTTAGTGGATAGTCCTTTAAAAACATAAATAATAAATCATCTCAAAAATACAAAAAAAAACCTCAGAAAATGTCAGCTTTGCAGGAAACAGTCCATGTTCAAAACAAGTCCCTACTGGCCCAGCAATTAGGCAATGCCATTCAAAAAAGTTTTCCTCATCCTTTGGTCCGGCTACAATTCCTTCTGTTGGGTTTTGAACTAATTCTGAAATATAAAAAGATTTTAAATTTCTAGAGAAAGTTTGTGTTTTTCTCGCTAATATTGACAAAGCTTGGGTACCATGAAATTAATTTTAATTGCCACTGTCCCGGTTAGGAAGCCATAACTTTTTTCAAAATTCACCCTAGGTCATCAATTTATATGTAATATTAGTTAGATTCGGCTTGTTCGAATGAACTATCAGCTACTGTTACCTTCCCCAATGTAGAAAATATGCACTGAGGACATATGTAAGAGGAGGGGAATGCATGCACCCACTAAGGTCAAAAAAGTGCCACTCGATTAGAGATAGGACCAAGGCGGATCCCGAAAAAAATCTCGACTTGGAGAGATCCCTCGCATTGATTTTGCGATCTCGATTCATCTCTACCATCGAGATTATGTCCGAAATATAATTAAAAAATAAAAAAATTCTAAATTAAACCTTTTACCATAATAATTAATTTTATTCACTCACGTCTATATTCTGTCATTAATCGACGTAAAGCAACACCAGCCATTTCAAAAGAAGTTTTGTTTAAATTATTAAAAATTGCTAAAAAATATTTTTCAAATAAAATTTGAGATATTAAAAAGCTAAGACAACCTTTAATCAAAAATTAAAGAAAAATTTATCCGTTTTAATTAACAATAATTTGTTCAGAATTTAATAAAAAATAAAGTTTATTTTAGAAAAATACCAGTCTAACTAATAAATATTTTTAAAATATAATTTTAATGTGTTTTTAAGTAAAGCTAAAAAGGTAACAACATTTAACTGCTAACAAGATTTTTTTCGTTTACCGGACTATAACTCATCCCAATTATTGTTTTTCAAAAAAAAACTTATTGTTGGCAGTAAATGTTGTTCTTTTCTAGACATTTTCAGCTTTTTCAACTAATGGAGAACAAATTTTTGGCATACTTGATTGCGTGGCAGCTAGAGTGGAGGGACAGTAAAATAAGCGGAGCAGTGGAAAAAATTTGATCGAATATACCGTCTGTTATGGGTTAAACTATTTATGCCCGATTGCCGTTTATTTGGATCCATTGTTATGTTGCGCATTTCACATAAAAGTCCAGTGTAACACAACCCAATAAAACATGAATATTTCAAGTCATTTGGAGCATTAAAGGCAAAGAATTCAGGTGGAATTGGAGTGGACATAGAGCCAACAGCAACACAATAGACAACACCGAAGCATTTTTCACCACCAGCTAAAAATTCAATCAAAGCGTTAACCTGTTTCTTGTCCTTTTTTACCTTCTCCTTCTCTTCCTTAACTTCTTTCTTGTCCTTGGTTAACTTTTCTTTCTCTGTCTTAAGATCGGCTTCTTTCTTTTCCAATTCAGCAGCTTTTTCTGCGTTAGCTTTTTTTTTGTTCAATGACTAACTTCTTCTCATCTTTAAACTTCTTTTCCGAGGACCCAAACATGATCTTCATTTTCTAAAAATATGAAGATTTAACTATTATATCGATCGCTGTCACTTTATAGTAGGTTGACTTTTTTAATTCGTTAAATCTTCATATTTTTAGAAAATGAAGATCATGTTTGGGTCCTCGGAAAAGAAGTTTAAAGATGAGAAGAAGTTAGTCATTGAACAAAAAAAAAGCTAACGCAGAAAAAGCTGCTGAATTGGAAAAGAAAGAAGCCGATCTTAAGACAGAGAAAGAAAAGTTAACCAAGAACAAGAAAGAAGTTAAGGAAGAGAAGGAGAAGGTAAAAAAGGACAAGAAACAGGTTAACGCTTTGATTGAATTTTTAGCTGGTGGTGAAAAATGCTTCGGTGTTGTCTATTGTGTTGCTGTTGGCTCTATGTCCACTCCAATTCCACCTGAATTCTTTGCCTTTAATGCTCCAAATGACTTGAAATATTCATGTTTTATTGGGTTGTGTTACACTGGACTTTTATGTGAAATGCGCAACATAACAATGGATCCAAATAAACGGCAATCGGGCATAAATAGTTTAACCCATAACAGACGGTATATTCGATCAAATTTTTTCCCCTGCTACACTGCTCCGCTTATTTTACCTGTCCCTCCACTCTAGCTGCCACGCAATCAAGTATGCCAAAGATTTGTTCTCCATTATTTGAAAAAGCTGAAAATGTCTAGAAAAGAACAACATTTACTGCCAACAATAAGTTGTTTTTAAAATTATTCGATATAACACCCCTCAACCTTTCACGTCGTTATAGTCGAAGTTTATGGGTTTTGCTTTTTCTCACCTATCTTTCCACTTTGAACTCTAGAGGAACTGATATTATTTGTAAAAACCCAAATTCTTTACAAGAAAGCTCATCTCGTGTCATAAAAAGTTGAGGGGTTCTTTATTGAACTTTACCAAAAATATAACTTTTTTTGTTGACAGTTAAATGTTCTCCCTTCGTCAATATATTAAATAAAATCTAATTTAAATAATTTTTTAAACTTATTTCGATCATTTCTTCCTATAAAATTTTTTCTTCGTCCTTTTCTTCTTCAATCCTTGTAATTTTTAATTAAATTAATTAAAGCATTAGTGCTAGAGTCATGTGTAGTTATTGGTTCATTGTCTTCTTTTTGTAATTCTGATTGGATTACTTTAGCTAATTGTTTGCCTAATTCAACACTTGAAATTAAAAAAAATTATTTTTGAAGATTGCTTAAATGGAATTTTAAAGTAAATCGCTTTTTCCTTTTCTCCCCATTATCCCTTATATGCCTTTACAACCAAAGTAATAAAAAAAAGGATAATTTTGGAAATATAACAATTTAAGAAATAATGCTAACATTAAGCCTCCCATTTTTAGTTTAGAAATTTAAAAACTTTTAAAAAATTTTTAAAGTCTCAACTTCATGAGAAATTGCGTTTAACTGACAACGGGTTCGACACACAACTTTCGTCGAAGAAAAATACCAAAAGATGAGAACGAATTGGGAGAGGAAAGAAAGAAAAGGGACTTATAAATCTCAAAAATAAATATAAAAGTGAAAAAAACAAACCCCCATTGATCAAAAGAATTAATTCCCCAAATAATTCCTTGAACAAAAATTTTGTGTTCATATATTGCAATTAAAGAGCCCAATGTATTTGGAGTAATTTTGGGCAAAAGTAAAGTGTTTGTAGGTCGATTGCCTTCAAAAACCTTTAAAATAAAAATTTTTTAATTTAAATAAATTTTAATTTAGAAAAAACCTTGTGTGGCAAAATTTCTTTAATTTTTGTTTCGTCCATTCCAGATTGTTTAAGTTCACTTTCTACTTCTTCAGAAGATTTTCCTTTCATTAAAGCTTCAGTTTGTGCCAAAAAATTGGCAAGTAAAATCTGTGAAATAAAACAAAAAATTATTTAGAAAGTGAAAAATTTCTAAAATGGTTCCGAAGCCAGAAATGGCAATAGAAAATGGCAATATAAATTGTGCGGCAAAATTTTTCTGTTATATCATAATCGCCCCTGTAACTAGAAAATCAAAATATGAGCCAAATATCTTTTCAAAACTTTTCTTTTTCAAGAATTCCGAAAAAAGCTTAAAATAAAAGCTTCATCAAAAAAAAGAATATCGAGATTTGGAAAATAAACAAAGCTTCCAAAAATCATTAATCATGAAATTTCGGCGAAGCTCTGCTTGAATAGTTTTACTCAAAGACAACTCTGACATAATTTAAATCCAAAATATTAAATAGAAACCGTATGGTGACGACCTCCACTAATTGGATTCAAACTTTGAATTGGTGCAATAAAATCACAGGGAATCAAATGCTTTCCTTGATGGATTAATTGATAAAAAGCATGCTGTCCATTAGTTCCAGGTTCTCCCCAAACTATTGGTCCTGTTTGTAACAAAGTTCCAGAGCCATTTCTTTAAAGAAAAATTTTAAAAAATTTCTTTAAAAATCAAAAAAAAACCTCAAAACACTTTTTCCATTACTTTCCATATCTCCTTGTTGGAAATAGGCAGCAAAGCGATGCATATATTGATCATAGGGCAATAAAGCAAGTGTCTCAGCTTTATGTAAATTTATGTAGAGAATTCCCAAAACGGCCAGAACTACAGGAATCTATAAAAATTTTTTGATTATTAAGGGGTTGTCGGGGGTCTTATTATTAAGGGGGTCTTAAAGGGTTGTCGACTGTAAAAAATCTTAAAATATCCCAAGGGCGTAGCCAGAGGGGGGGGCTTCTGGGGCTATAGCCCCCCCCCTGAAATGGGGAAAATGAAAAAAAGTTAAAAGGGAAATTATCAGCAAAGTGAATTTTTACGCCTACACCCCCAAAATTCTCAAAATTTTACGCCCTTGGGATATCCTTAACCGGACACTTAAACTGAATTTGTTTCGTACTCATTCTCGTACACCGTAACAGTGATGTCACGGGTTATTCGGAAAACCCATCTTTCAACACGATCCGAAGAAAATTTCTAAAACCAGGCCCGGCTATTTTCTCAATACATGAAATCCCTGCTTCATACCATTCCTAGATTCGGCCGCGAACTCCTACCAAGCATTACGGTTAATTTAAAGCCGAAAGCAAAAATACTTGAATTTCTATTTGACAACCCAAGCTATCAAAAAATAAAAAAACATTACATTAGATTCAAGCGGTGTTTGACAAAAATGTTTATCAACAAGAAAAGCACCGTCAAGCAATTGTTCAAAATTTTCAAATCCAATGTGAACAGCAATTGAGAGACCAATTGCAGACCAAAGAGAGTAACGACCACCAACCCAATCCCAAAATTCGAACATATTCTCTTCAGAAATACCTTAAAATAGGTGGATAGCTTGAACTATCTTCATATTCTTGTAGTTTCAATAAGATAACGATAAAGGAAGAATCCGCCCAGGTTCGTTGGTTCGAACTGAAGAAAAGAGGATTTTTCGGTTTGGTTCCGGAAATGTTTCAATAACAGACAACCCTAATCAAGCCTTTTAAAAGGCGTAGTAAACTTCAAAACACTCGGAGAACGAAAGTGAACTTATATTGCTCAAAATACCAAAATATTTAAGTGATTTTTAGACTCAAGGAACAAAAAGTCAACAAACATACCAAATTCCTTGACTTTAGTTGCATTTGTAGAAAGAGCAACAAAATGTTTAGCAACATGTTTAGCATCACCTGCTTTCGTCACGAACCTTAAAAAATTTTAAATTGAAAATTCAAAAAAATTTAAAAAAAACCATTCACGAGCAGATTCCGCATTTGTAATTGTCTCCTGTGTTGTAAACGTTTTTGAAGCAATAATGAAAAGAACGGTTGCTGGATTGACTTTTTTAAGAACCTAAAAAATATTCTTAATCTTAAAAATTAATTTAAACCTCAGCTAAATGGGTTCCATCAATATTGGAGACAAAATGCACATTTGGGCCTTTTTGATAAAATTTGAGAGCTTCAGTGACCATTAAAGGACCCTAAATTAAATTTATTATTAAAAATTGAAAGTTAGAATAGTTTAAGGTCTACAAGTATAAGGTGTAAATTAATGGAGTAATCAAGCTGGGACAATAGAAGTGATGTCGAAAATAAAAATTTACAAACAAAAAAGTTATCGCTTATCACCAAAACGTGGTGGGCGATGCTTCTATCAAAAACAAACCAGGAGGTCATAGGTTCATTCTTACCTAATCATAAAATTGTGGTAAAAAACATCGAGAGAAAAAATGCTGACGTAATCAGAGGAAATTTTTAGTATGGGTTGGACAAAAATAGAGATAACGGTGTAACTAGGTATAAAATCTTAAAAAGTCATTAAAAATATATACCAAATCAGAACCACCAATTCCAATATTAACAACATCCGTAATTTTTTCACCAGTATAACCAGTCCATTGGCCACTAATTATTTGATCACAAAATTCTTTCATATGTTTAAGAACAGCATTAACATCAGGCATTACCTTTAAAAATTAAAAAAATTATTTTTCAGATTATTTAAATAGGATACTTGAAAAGATTGGGGTGCTCTCGGAAAAGTTTAGTCAGGGACTTGTTAAAAATGGGTCGATTTATATATTCAATGCCAATGGAAAAATGACTGTGGACCGAGATATAGGTTCCCGAAAGTAGTTAGTCCCCCGTCCCCGTCGTGGGGGCAGAGGGGTCCGCAAAATTAATCCCTAATTAATTCCTTGTAATTACAGCACTAATTAGGACCATCCTAAAGGTTTAGGGACTTCCGGTATCACCCCAAAGGGTCTTATCACAGATAACTGATATAGGAATAGGGTTCCGTGAAATTAACCCCCAATTAGACCCATGTAATTATTCGCTTATTAAAAACATGTAATTAGTACACTAATTAGGAATATCCGGTGCCGAACCCGCCAAACCAAAAGGTTTAGGTCCCTTTCCCCCAAAAATTTTTAAATACTTTTTTCCCTTTTCCTTTTCCGTAATTTTTCTATTGTATTTTTGTTCGCGCAGCGTGCGAACATTGCTTTAACAATTTTTTAAAGATTTTCTGGGTCAACTGAATCTTTTCACTTTTCTTTGGAATTTTTAAAAATTCTCTTTTTTAAAAATTTTACCTTTGTTTAAAAATTTTTTCCTTTAGCTAAAACTTTTGAAATTCTAGGTCATCTTAACCTAAAAATTTTTTCTTTTGTATTTTTAAAATTTTCTTTTGATATTTAAAATTTTGTGGTATTTAACCTAAAAAAATTTTCCTTTTAAAAAATTTTCCCTTTTGTTAAAAAATTTTTAAAACTTATTTTAAAAATTAGGGCATCTTAACTTAAAACTTTTTCTTTTGTGTACAAAAGAAATGAAGTTTAATGAATAAAATTTTTTTGGATAGAAAAAAGGATTAGATAGTGAATCAAAAAGGTTTTGTGTAAAAATAAGTTTCAATGGAAAAAATTAAATTAATAAAAAATTAAAGGTCAGCCTGACCTAAAAACTTGCTTCTTTGTTAACAAAAGAAAAGAAAAATTTTAATAAAAATTTTTGAATGGAAAAAAATAAAAGGATAAATAGTGAAAATAAAAAGAATAGGGAAAAATAAAAAGGTGAAGTAATAAAAATTGAGAATAAATAGAGATAAAAATAGGGAGAAATATTAAAATATTGTGCTGATTTCCTTCGTCTGCTACAATCAAATCATCTTCGTCTCATTGTTCTTATCTCTTGCTTGTCAACCCGTTACTATAATACCCCTCTTAAATAAAATATTATAAAATTTTCAAAAATTAGGTCAAAAATTCAAGGTTATTATTAAAAATTTTAACCTAGTTAAGAAATTTCATCTAAAAATCCAACTGTGTTTCATTTGAAAATAAACTAAAATGGGTGGAGCCTCTGTAGGTATAAAAACCGATTGATTTTAACTGAAATATCATTCTACTTTACAACAACTACTGCTTCGAGACAAAACAAACATAAATCTTGTTCAAATTTTTTTAAAAATGTTTCCTCCTCCACCCAAAAAATTTAAGAATTTTTCCATTTCCAATATATTAGGTTCCCAAACCAATAACCTATATGTTAAGAAGCTTGGTCATGAGACCAAGTTTAACCGTAAATTTAATTCGTCCAAGGTCTCTACTAGGTTCCTAATTTCTGACCTCCCCAACGACCCTGAATCCCTTCTTGCGGGGATTTTCCAAAGTACCATCGACGAAGCTCTTGAAGAGAGTCGTCAATGGGGGGTTGATCCTGATCAACTAGGTTGTATAGTGTCGAGTCAGCTTCTTGACTCAGACGTTTGGATACCAATCCGTGAGATCACCCCAAATACGGTTGACTCAATCCTGAACCAGTTCCTAAAGGTTGCCCAGAGTAAAAAGCAAGATAATGGTATGTTATGGGGGGCCCCTTTTCTTGTATCAGTTTCCACTATTCAACGAAGTGACATCCCCCGGAGAGTGCATGGTCGTGGAAAAAATTCATCATCAAAACAGCTTAAAATCAACGACAACGCTCTAATTAAAATTCGCAACAATGACAACTATTGCTTGTTCTACTCTTTGATTGCTACTTTCATTTATGCTACCTCCCTATGGCCCAGATGGAAATTTTACGATTACTTACACAGCAGATTCGGCATGGCTCACCTCTTCAAGAAAGACACAATGGATTTGATGGAAACTGTTGGTGCACCTCTCGACACGGACAGCTACGATGCAGAGGAATGGATCCCATCTGTGGTTGAATATTGGAATTTGCTGAATAAAGGATGGTTTAAAGTTTATATATTTGGGGATTTGGGGGAAAAACCTATTTATAAGTATGGCCCCGAAAATTTTGATACGCCTATAATTTTGTTTTATAATAAGGAACATTTTGATGGGGTTCGTAGGGCTAGTGACCTTTTTGGTCATCCGTATTGCCTATCATGTGAAAGCGTTTATGATAAGAAAACTAACCATGCAATCTCGTGTAAATCAAGGTGTCCTAACTGTTCAAGAGTTGGCCCCGGTTTCCCTTGTAAAAATTTAGATGTATTCTTTAAGCATTGTGGTGGGTGTGGGAAAGACTTTAAGAATGAAAACTGTTACACCCATCATATCACCTCAAATTTTTGTAGTTCCTCCAAAAAATGTGAAAAATGCGGGGTTATCTGGGATGTTAAAGTAAATAATAGGAATGGGAGGGAGGGTCACGTTTGCTCCGAACGCTATTGCACAACGTGCGGTAGCTACCACGATCCAAAACGTGGGTGTTACATAAAGCCCCTTGTCATCAAACCCACAAAAGCGTACCGAATATTAGCATTTGACTTTGAAACCATGCAACACCGGGAAGGTGAAAAGGGTAAAATACATGAGGTTAACTTTATAGGGGTAAAAGTAAACTGTCCCGAGTGTATCAATAATGGACCTAACCCTGATTGCAGTGTTTGTGGGGAAGCTAGAACGATAACCTTTTCTACGAGACCTTTCAAAAACACACCCGTTGACATTCAAAATGTCACAGAGAATCCCTTAGAAGAATTTGTGTCATGGCTTATCGATTCTTCCGTGACAGACACGGTTGCCTTCTCACACTTTGGGGGTAGATTTGATATGGTATTAGTTTTTAAGGAATTGTTTCTTAGGGGGTTAACTCCGGATATGATTAAAAAAGGTAATAAGTTATATGAAATGAAGGTAAAGGTTGGTAAAAAGAATTGGGTCATTTTTAGGGACACTTTTAATTTAATGCCCATGTCCCTTGCTTCCTTGGTCCCTGCCTTTGCACTTAGTGTAGAGGACAAACCTTTCTTTCCACACATGGTAAATAGACCGGAAAATTATGGTAAGGAAATTTTCCCGGTGAAGGATGACTATCTGGCTGATGGGATGATGCCTGAGAAGAGAGCTCAGTTTGATAAATGGTTTGAACAAAACAAGAATGAACCCTTCAATTTGGATGAATCCTTGGCATCATATTGTACAAACGATGTGGAAATTCTTATGGCTGCTCTGGTTGCTTTTCGGCGCGAATTCTTGGAGGTTTCAAATGGATTGGATGTGCTGAGGGAGGCAATGACAATCGCCAGTGCTTGCATGAAACACTTTAGAACAAATCACCTGGCATCTCAACACCTTGGAATTGTTCCAGAGAAGGGCTACGACAACGCAGACAACCAGAGTTTGCTTGCTCTTCGATTCCTCAGCTGGTACGCTGAGGAACACAATGTCAGTATACGTAATGCTTATTCTAAAGAAGGGGAAAAGAGGTTTGGGAATTATAGGGTAGATGGGTGGGTAGAAGAAAGGAAATTGGTTATAGAGGTCAATGGGTGTTGTTGGCATGGGTGTAAAAAATGTTTTCCTGATGATGAAATAAGGCTTCCCAATGGGGTTACTGCGGGGATTCAAAGGGAAAGGGATGAAAGGCGTTTGGAATTTATTGAGAGTTTTGGTGTAAATGTGGAAGTTTATTGGGAGTGTGAAATAAGGGGGATGCTTTCAAGGGATAGGGTTATGAAATTAAAGTTCAAGAATTACTTGGACAATGGACCGATCGATATTCGATCGGCCTTCTTTGGGGGGAGAACCGGACCACTAAAACTATTCCATAAAACGGGGGAGGGGCAAAAAATTTCCTATTATGACGTGACCTCCCTGTACCCGTTCATCAATATGACAACGCGCTACCCAATTGGTCACCCTGTCGTCCATATTCTGAACAACGACGTCAACTGGACTCAACCCTCAGACAACACTTATGAACTGGCTCTTCTAAAAATTTTTGTGATACCTCCACGAAGCATCGACATACCAGTGTTGCCTATGAAAATTGGAGACGACGATGAAAGACTTCTATTTCCACTTTGCTCCACTTGTGCAAAAGAACATCCAAATGGTGATGTGAACGAGAACTACACATGCAAACACACAGACCAACAACGTGGATGGGTCTACTTGTACATCGATAGAGTTGAATGAAGCATTGAAAGAAGGATACGTGGTCACCAAAATCTTCAGAGTCTTGGAATATAGAAATTATGACGACAACCTCTTTCGTCCTTACATCCGTGAATTTATGGCACAAAAAATTCACGCAAGTGGCTTTGACAACGACATCAAAGGAAACAGCCAGAAGGAAGAGAACTTCATCAAAGAGTGCAAAGAAAAGTTTGGTATCATCATCGACAGGGAGAAAATGAAGGTCAACAAAGGAAAGAGGACGCAAGCTAAATTATGCCTCAACAACTTATGGGGCCGCTTCTCTCTCCGTAACCTTGGATTGTCACAATGTGTGGTTACGGACGACCCTGCTGTGTACACCAAATATTCAAACGACCCTTCGCTTATTATCAACTTCTTTGAAGAATTAACTGATGATCTACTGCTTATTTCCTACACCAAAAAGAAGGAATTTGTTGAAGAACATGACTCGTCAAATGTCATCATCTCCTTATGGACTACATCAGCAGCGAGAATCCACTTGCTACACGCCATGCAACAGG